GCTGGTACTAGCCATAGCTGAGTGCTTGAGTTCTGGCTTGCATATATTTAATATTTCCATACGTTTGTCCCCTCCCGCCTTTAAAAAAAATGTTATAGAGCATGTTTGCTCACTTTAGACAGAGAGAGAGAGAGAGAGAGAGAGAGACAGACAGAGACTGAGACAGCACCTCCTGGGGGATGGTCATGCTGCAATCCCTTCTCCTCCATTCTCTTCTCGGGACTTTGGGTACACATGGACCTATGTACACCAGTGTGTCTTTCAAGTCACCAGGTCCAGGACTTGAACTGCATAGTCAGCCACGTGGGATCCAGTCACCTTAACCACCTGCCACCGGTTGGCATTCCCTATCTTCTTTTTCTGGAACATTGTTTCTTTATTTCTGGGGCAAGTCTCTACCCTTGCCGCAAGGCTTAGATGAGCATCACTTCCTCCAGGAGGCTGCCTCTGGTCCTTGGTGCCCAAATTTGTGCTTCTTAGCACTTAGTGCAAAGGCAGTGTTAGCTTTATCACACTGCATTGGTTAACCTGCACATTAACCTGACTTTCCAGGCCGTTCCTGCAGGGCCCGCCTTAGTCATGTCTGTTTTCCAGCTAGAAGCTCAGCGAGTTCCAAGAGAACACATCATGCCTGAGAAATGAATTCAGACTCACACTTGAGGCAGAGCTAGACTTCTGTCTCACATTCATTATTTGTAGAATTCTTTGCCTTAATCCTTCCTCTTGCTTTTTTCTCTTAGCAAACTCAACCCTTATAAACGGTGGGTTCTTCTTTTTGTCTCCAATGGTCACTTTCTCTAGTTTGTGCTCAAGCCTAACTTTTTGTTGGTGTTGTTGTTAGCCTTAATATACTATGGGGAGGGCCAGGTCACTTCCCTGAGGCAGAGTAATAAATGCTAAAATTGGTTCCAGGGCAAAAAGAAAAAAGAAAGAGGGAGAAAGATTACTTAATGGCTTCTCAAATTCAAATGTTATCTTCTTAAATGCTATTCTTTGAAGTCACCTCCATTTTTCTCTGATAACTTAGTGTTGCTTCCTTGTCTACTACAAAATTAATCTGAGAGCAGGAGAGTTGGGTTCCCTGGAGGCCGAGCCTGCAGTAAGATAGCCCAAGGTTCAAGATGTCCCTGGGTCCTGTTAACCCTCAGGCTTTGGGAGAAACTCACCTTGCTGTGGTGTTGGAGCTGCACCCAGCCTCCGTAGCCGAATCTCTGCAGTGGGATAAACACAGTTAGACCAAAGAATAACAAAGGCATCCCTAGGGAAGAGGATCCTGAGTACCATTTTTTTCAAGCGTTACTCTTCCAATTTTCCTCCATGCCCATGGGTAACTTATTCAATACTTATATTTAAATGACTTTGGCTTCTCCCCCTTAAATATCTTTATTCAGGAAGAAAACCATATATCTCAGAAGCAGTAGTTTTATCCTTTTTTTCTAAGTAGTTTGGAATTTTAGAGTGAAGATGAACATGAACAAGTCTTTTGTTCATGTACCAGCTAAAATCATTTGCAGACCACCAGACATAAACAGACCATAAGGACCACTCTTTAGGAAGTACGCTCCTTTTCCAGCTGTGGGTTACAACCCATCAGTAAATCTTATAACTTAGTGGTTAAGGACTTAGATATTTAAAAAACTCAAATAGTGGGACCAGCAAGTGGTGTGGTGCTTAAGGTGCCAGCCTTCCACATGGCTAGCACGGTTCAAGTCCTAGTCTTGGCAGCTTGCTTTCTTACTCTCTCTCTCTCTGTCTCTTTCTGGTGAGCACACATGCCCTGTAGCATATTTTAAAAAATGATAAATAATTAAATTTAAAAAAAAACTTGAACAGTACATGGAGCAGAGGCTGTGGTGCCCTATTTATATCTCTTTCCCCTCAACACTTCTGCGCATACCAGCCCACCTCCAGCTGCCAGAATCTGCATGTCCTTGACCAAAGGCTTCCCTTTTGGTCTTGGAACTACTTTCATCAAGCCTTTCTAAGGGTGACGTCACAAGTACCAGAAAATTAGACCCACCTCTACCCCTCAGCAGCAGTCAACTGATGACAGAAGGATTCTGTCTGTAAATATGCCGAATGTACTGGTGCCCCTCCCCTCCAGCAGGCTAACTCTGAGGCCAGGTACACAGGCTACGCTGGATGACGAACCTTTCACTGACTGCCTTGTTTTTCTTGCCTAACTTCCCTTTCTTCTGGTGTTTCCTGGGATCCCCTCCAAGGTAAACTACTTGTATTTGAATCCTGGTCTCAGGGTCTGCTTCTTGAGAAACACGTGATAAGACAGTAAATTAATGGAATGCAACAGAATGGTAAAGAATATATTAGAATGTCTCTCATGTCACAGGCAGTGGTTTCATGAAAACTTCCATAATATATATAAGCATTTGTACTGAGTCATAATATAAGATATATTTCTTCTCAGGAGACATGAGTAAATAATTTTGAAAGCCACTGCTCCAAAACATAGGTATTACTTTTGTATTTATAGGTTTTAAAGTAACATATCACTCATTTAGGTATTTACTCATTCTTCAAGCCCTCCAGGAGTCTCATCTTAATAGTACAGTCTTACTAGGACAGAGAAAATAAAAATGGAGGCAGTTCCTGTGGTGCCAAGCAGACACTTGGAGGGCAGGCCGGGTGGACAAGTGCTGGAAGAATGTGAGAGACATCCTGTGACAATGATCTCTGGGAGCCTGGAAAAGGTGCTGATGACACCTTGGGCTAGGTGATGTCAGGAGACAGGCTGAGAAGGTAGTTCAGGATCCGCCTAGAAAAGACCTTGTAGTGCTTAGGATTATTGTGCTCAAAAGCATGGCTCTCAAAGTGTGATGTACAAAGGGGAGGTGACAGCCATGTGAAGGAGCTGCCTACGGCTCCTAGCCTATCTTCAGTGAGGGGTAGGCAGGGCGAACAGGCTGTTTCTCACTTGTTGTTGGATGAGGTCAGGTAATGGTGCTTGGTTCTCAAGTCAGGGAACTGGAAGTTGTCTGGAGGGAGTCAGGGCTTCGTGGATCCCCCTTCCTACCTGCCTTCTCAGTCTGATTGAGTGGATAGGTCTGGAGCCTGGTGCAACATGAGTGTGTCTCTGTGTCTGTGACTGAGGTCTGCCTCAGCAGACTAATGATACACAGCGATTGAATGTAAAAATAAAAAATAAGAGTAATATGAAAAATAAAAAAGATTTGGATTCATTCTGTACTAGTCTTATTCTACCCAGGCATAAGCTCTTTTCTTAACTTCCGGCTGCAAATAATCATCTAAACTCTGTAAATCTACTAAGTTCTCTGTAGTGACATCAGTAAACCTACCTAACCCCTCCCCAGCGATACCAGTGGGCCCTGTTTAGCAGGTGGCATGCAAGAGAGACTGCTCGCCAGGGCCTAGCCGCCCCTCCCCTCACCCAGTTTCTCCTTCGCCTGTGCCCGCCTCAGGCCCCTCCTCGATGCAGTCAATATCTCTGTACTTTTTCACTTTATTCCTTAGAAAAAGCTGCCAAGAGATATACTGGGTTGTCAGAAAGGTCATGATGTATTTTTTTCTATGCAAAAATGCATCATGACTTTTCCAACAACCCAATATATGTTGAAGAATGGGTAGAATATGGCCGTGATCAGTTACGCTTTAGAATATAGTGCTTTTGAACTAGAAATTTGCCTTTGAAATCTTATTATTTTTAATTACCAGAGCGTGTATGCACTCACCAGAGAAAGACCGAGAGGAAGCGTGAGGGAGAAAGCATCCCCAATGGAAGGTGGTCATACCACAATCCTGCTCCTCCATTTCTTTATCCTATTTGGATCTTGGACATGCATGCACACATGGCAGGGATGCGTTTCAAGCTTCTGGGGCTGATATTTGAACTATGGTCGGCCATGTGGGATCTGGCTCCCGTAATCACTAGCCTGTAAGACTGGCCTGAAATCGTATTCTTAATATAGAAAAAAAAATATTTTATTTCCTTTTTTGTTTTTTAAATTTCTGCTGGAGGGTGCTTGTGCTAGCTAGAGAGATGGGGCAGGGTGGGGAAGGGATGGAGAAAGCACACCTCCCCCAAGGCAGATAGTCATGCCACAATCGTTTTCCATTTCTTCCTCCTGTAGGGATTTTAGGCACACGCACATGCACATCTGGCTGCTGAGTCTGGAACCTGAATTGTGTAACTGGCAATGTGTTGTCCAGCTGCCTTAACTACCATAACAGCTGGCCCGGCTTTACTTCTTTTTATCCTTCCTGCCTGCTTTCTTGCCTTCCTTTTCACTCTTTCTTTCTTTTTTTTACTTTTTCTTATTTCTTTAAGGAACATTAGCCCATATGATTTTTCAGGGTCAACATTTTTTACTCTATTTAAAATGAGAAGAAACTTGCAAGCCCTACTATTGGGCCCATAGTAGGTGATCAATTAACTCTTGCTGAAGGAAAAAGACACAATCTTGTCATCACTGTCATGATGAGTAATCTTACTGCGATCAATCTGAAATGTCTTTCAACATGGTTTCTTGGGCCACTGTCCTGTTTCTGACAGTAGAGCGAGTCCTGACTCATCAGAAACAACTTAGCCAAGTACCCTGCCTGGGCTATCCTTCCACACCAGTTAGGTTTTATTAAATAATCCTAATTGCAACTCTGCTAAAATTACATTAGCAAGTGAAAATGAAAAGATTTGTCAAATCCTTGTCCTTCGTAATCATAAGTTAACCATCAGCCCAGTCGTGTTGATTTTGCTTTTCCATTTCTTCATTACACAAGAAGGTCAAGGTTATCGAGGTATATCTATTAATACTTAAGAAGGACAAGCAGATTTGAAAAGAGACATTAGTTTTTTCCAAAGTGACTTCACCTTCTAAAATAAAAATAGTATTGGTTTATTCCTTTCATTCTTTTACTAGAAAAATTGAAAAAACAGTGAGAAAAGATCAGAAACTGATAGTTTAAGTTTTTTTTCCCCATGGAGAAACAACTTGAAAACAAAGGGAACTCTGCTATAGTTAATGTCACTTTTAAACTCACTTTATTTTGACCATGTACAATGGGAATGAGGGGAGAAGGATACACTCATTAGGTGTACCTTTATTACTCTCGTTTATCCCATTTTTAAAATGCAGCACTGTTTCTGCCAGTCATTTCATCCCTGGCTTGTCCTCAATCAAATGGAAGCTTCTACTGCATAACAGACACAGGTCAATCAATCAGATCTTTTATATGGCCTGGAAGGCAGATCCCATGATGAAGCCATCATCAGTGGGTTTTGTGAGAGGTTGGGGAGCAGAGGGCTGCATGAACGTCCTTCACAGCAGAAACACTCTCCTCGGTCAGTTTTCTCAGGGTGAATGCGGTGGTGGTTCTCTGGAGGGACGGCTGTGATTCCACAGAACTCTGGGATTCTAGGTTCATTTCTGAACCTCAAGTGCACCTCATATGTCAAATAGTACAATATAAACCTTATCTGCTTATGTCACAAGGCTTTATATGAATCAAATGATTTGTATCTCACTTCTCTGTCTCACTCTCCCTGGAAGTACAACAGGTTATGACTATTGTTATTACGACGGTGATGAGGATGTTGATGATGAAGTATATCATCTATCTGCTTACGGCATGTGAGACTGCCAGATAAGAAGTGTGGTTTACGGGGACACAAATCCTCTCCCTCTTTCAACCTTCCTCCCAGAGCCCACCATCAAGCCGGCTCTGGGAAAGGAGGGTGCATACAAAGCCAGGAGGGTGCATACAAAGCCACAAACATGCGCTTGGGAAGTTTCCAGAGCACACATCTGTGGCCACCCCCCGTGCTCCGCATTTCAGTTTCCTTAGCAGTTCTCGGAATGCTGTTAGGGCCCTGCACGAGGTGGGGCACCTAGACATTGTCAGCTCTGGGTGACCAGTTCCCTCCTCAAACTGGACGCAGGCTTAAGAGTGGGGGTAGGTAATGGGAGGTGAAGTTGTGACACAGGCTACTAATAGAGTCTTCTCTCAGCAGAGGGTTCACCATCTTAGGCTCTGTGAGTCCTCCAGATAGGGAAGCCTGAGGATGTACAAAAAAGAGTAATACTTGTGGCTTATTTAGGAACAGTTCTGGTGCCTGGACGGAATGCCTTGCCAGGGCCTAGGTTTTGTGGGAGTACAAATAACCATCCCTGCTGAGGAGACAGAAAAGTGTGTTCCCCAGAAACAGGGTTTTCTCTTGGACATTGACTTAGATTAGTTTGGGGTTTCTGAAGCCTGAATTTAAGTTCAAATTTTACATGATGAATGCAAAAACGGCTAGAGTAGCCCGGTTCTTTGCACAACGCGCTTTACACCTGCCTTAGGAGGAACTGGAAAGCCCTTGCTCTAGTGACAGAAACCTCTTAACTGACTGGCTTGCTCTCTGTCTTGGTCCATTCATGCTGCTATAACAAAACGCCACCAAGGGGGTCCCTTCACCACCACAGACATTTATTTCTTGTAGTTCTAGGGGCTGGGAAGTTCACGATCAAGGCACTGGCAGTTTTGGGTCTGGTGAAATGTTATTTCTTGGTTTATAGATGGCACCTCCTTGCTGTGTCCTCAGGATAGGAGCAAATGAACGTCCCTGGCTATTTTATAAGGGCATTAATCCCATTCATGAAAGCCCTGCTGTCATGACCTAATGACGTCCCAAGGCCCTACCACCTCATAGCCTAGGTTTGGTGGTGAGAATTTCAGCATGTGCATTTTGGAGGGACACAAACATTCAGACCACACCATAGTCTAAGTCTCAAAATCCTTATTTGCGCAAGGAGGTGGATGCCACGGAGCTCGGTGCCCTTGCCACTGTGCCGTTGTCCTGGAGGTTAGGTCATGCTGGCTAGCTTTCTCAGGGGGAGCAAACAGATGAGCAAGGTCCGATTGAGGCCACTGGTGGTTCCCAAAGCATTTCATCTCAAACACAGGGAAAAGTTATAATGCTAGAGTTTATGCTATTTGCTGGGGGAAAGATTAAGGACTATTATACCAAAGGCTTGAATTTGGATTTATCAATTAGACGCCAGGAAAGTCATGATGTATTTTTCTATTTTTTAACGCAAAAATGCGTCATGACTTTCCTGACGACCCGATGACACTCCTAGATTAGAGTGTATAATCTATTATTCCTTCCATTAACTGTATCACAAATTACTATACTCATTGTATTATTCACCAGGCAAACGGTCATAAACAACGGGTAGAACATGGTGAGCACACGCATGCACCTTCCAAACAAACCAAGTGACGCCTGTGAAGTAACTGGTGGCTTCCCTTCATGAGCTCATTAACCTCCTGGAGTTTGCACTGTGAGGAAAGAGGATGTGGACAGCGCGATCAGAACAGCATGTTTCCTTGTAAGTATTTCTACTCCTTTAAGATGGAGGTAGGTTGAGAGGTTTAGTTTTTACCATTAGCTGTAAAAGGACAGGCTTTCAAAGATGGTTTGACATCGTCCCTATTTCGTGATCTAGTTTCTATAACTATCTTACCTAAGACAGCAATGGACAAAGAAACACTTAAGATTAATACTCTTTCAGATGGGACCAGCAGTTAGCGTAATGGCTATGTTGTTGGACTCCCATGTAGTCGACCGCGGTTCAAGTCCTGGACCCAGTGGCTTAAACTCACGCCTGGTGTGTGTGTGTGTGTGTGTGTGTGTGTGCCCAAGATCCTGAGAAGAGAATGGAGGAAAAGGGATTGTGGCATGACCATCCCCCCGGGGGGTGATTTCTCGCTTTCTGTCTCTCTGTCTTTCTGGTGAGTGCACGCACTCTATACAAAAAAATCATCTCAAACAAACAAACAAACAAAAAAACCCCAAAAAGCAAAAAACCAAAAAAAAACCCAAAAACAAAACTCTTTCAGGTCAGAACTTTGAGAAGAGAAGTTTCATCTATTGCACCACATTTTAATTATGGTTTGGGTTAATTTTCCCTCACGTGGGCTAGAAAATGAGAACCATCAATAGTGGAAGTACTGGCAGGATGCTGACTATTAGTTAAAACCTAACATTAAGTCTGAGCAACTTCCAGCCAATTTAAAATTTCATGTTCTCCACTTTTCTCCATGAATTCAAAAGTCATTCAAAAGTTCTTAATGAGAAAAGGACATTTTCATCTTTAGAGAAACACAGAGAATAATCTTTAGGAACACTCATTGTGCAAAGGTTTCTTGTTATTTATTGCAGTTTTGTGATGTACCTCCTCCCTAGTTCTTCATAGCAAGAATTTACAGCTTAAACAACTTCAAAAAGGAAAGGTTTCAGACGGTGTCCTAAAATAGACTTAAAAAAAAATTCACAAAGCTATTTCTTGGTACTTCTAAAACTTATTTTAAATGCTTTGGAAAGGAAATATATTTTAGAAGTCCTCAAAACCTATCACATTCATTATTTTAATAGCCTTTAGTTGAAACTATAACTTTAAATTCTGTAATTGTCATGTATTCTCCCAGCAGCTGAATATGCGATTTAAAAACAGTAAATGTGCTTAACTTAAATTGTCCAGAAATTAAAAAAACAGATTCATTTGACAGGGAAAAGGGTTTTTGAGAAAGCACATGTTTCTTTGATTCTGTACTCTTTCAAGTATGTATATATGCCATTTTAAAAAAGAATTATTTTATTTAACTTTATTTATTTATTTATTTAACCAGAGATGGACAGCACAAGAGAGAAAGGGAGGGAGAGTGAGAAAGCAAGCCACCAGGTCTGGGACTCGAACCACGGTCAGCCATGGTGGCCCTCAGCGCCCTCAACCACCATGTCACTTACTGGCCCCTATATAAGTAATTTTTAAAAACTGGGAAATCAGAGCTCTCCCAAATAATTGAAAAGTGCCCCCAAATCAGAGAAACTTAACATCTATTCACCAAATAGAAAGGTTTATAATAAAGATATTAGAATACTGGAGAAGTTTCAGAAATAATTCAGCAAATTACCTTTTTTAGATCTGGCCATTCTTTTGGTAGAATATGATTATGAATGTCAATTTTCATCTCGACAGGATCAGAAGAGAAGCGAGTGAGGATAGAAGTTTTGATATCAAGAGATATCTATGAAAGCCACAGTTAACTGATTTACTTGGTCCTTTACGACTGTTTCTAGGGACAGTCAGTGGGCCTGCCCAGCTCAGCAGAGGCCCACTGCACTACTTTGCTGAAGTTCAAAGTTCTGTTTATTTGTCAACCTGGCTTTAGGTCAACACTCTGATAACCAGGACTTTGAGCACAAAATTAAAAAAAAGGAAAAAAAAAAAAAAGAAGATTGTACTCAGCCTGGTGAGGTCAAAAGTAGAGTGGACTGCTTTGAGTTCTAGCAGGCCACAAATTAACCAATCTTTGATTTTCAGTTTCAAGTCTTGCCGAGATATATGTAGTTAAAAATCAATTAGTACATGGTTAAATAAGTCAAGTAATACAGAGGGCTTTTGTTAAAAAATGATAGAGCCCTGACTCTCCTCTTCCCCTTGGTTTCACTCGCCACAGGTAGTTAAGTTTAATGCTTTTCTTTTTACTCGTTTAGCTACTTCCCTGTCTTTAAGTAATATTTAACAATTGGCTTATTCGTGAACATTTAGCATTTTGAAGAAATTGTGGAGGAATTTCATCCTTTTAAATCATAGAAATGAGGTCCACCATTTCCCCCCTCTTTTTTTATAATCACATATACATAAATAAAAGAGAAAGGGGAGAGAGAAAAGCCACTCCCCCAACAGGAATCTGAACCCTCAGTCAGTCATGTGACTTACAGCGCTGCAGTCCAGTATGCCATGGTCTATGTCGTCTAGGCTGTGCTGAAAAAGTCCACTCTTCATATATGTTTTTCCTCCATCACCTTTGTGTTTCACTCACGCATTCACACACTTAACAAACATTTATTGAGAACTATTACGTGCTGAAGACATAAGGCTGAATGAAGACTAAAATATCCACATGCTGTAATACATAATTGTATATAGCCTAAGGGTCAAGGGAAGACATTTCCACTGAGAGTTGTCAGAGCAGTTGGGAAGGCTTCCACTGAAGCATAAAGTGGAACTCATGGTCATGCCTCTAAAGAGAGCCTGGGACAAAGCAGCCCTTTATCACTCTAGGTTTACCCTTGTTCTTTTCCTGGAAAGCTGAAAATATTCAAGGACTTTAGGGTCCCTGGCAAAGACTTAAACCTGCTTTGAGATGCTCCCTTGGGTTTAGTGTCCACAACACAAGGACTATGTTATTAAAAAGTCCTCTTACTATAATTATAAATGATAACAGACATACTTTTAAATGTGGCTCGTCTAGAAAGAATATAAGAGAAATCTTCAAAATCTCTGTTAAAAAAGTCCAGTGAGCGAAAACCAAGTGAGGGAATCTTAAACTAACATGGAAGCCTGTGTCAATACTCAGAGTAAGTGCAAGCACTTGTAGAGCACTTCCTACAGGCCAGAAAGTGTTCCCAGCATTTTAGTCATAGTAAGTCATTCGTTTCTCATGACATTTCTGTGAAGGGGAAACTATTACCAATGTCTGTTTTCTAGAAGAGGAAACTGAAGCACAGGGAAGTTAAGTAACTTGTTCATGGCCACACAGTAGTGTGTAGTAGAGCCCAAATTTGAACCCAGAGAGTGTGAATTAATAACCATAGAGAAGTGGGGATTAATATCTGATGGGGGGAGAGGGCGGGCAGCAGGTGGTGTGGTGGTTAAGGGTGCTGGATTCCCACATGGCCAACCACTGTCTGAGTCCCAGACCTGGCAGCTTGCTTTCTCACTTTTTCTTTCTCTCCGTTTCTGTTTCTTTCTGGTCAAATTAAAAATAATAATAATAAATGGAATTAAATAAATAAATTTTTATAAGAAAGTATATCCCTCAGGGGAATGGGAGATTAGAACATAGGCTTGTATAAAGCTAAAAGTTTCTTATTTTTTAAAAAGTTTTTTTTTTTCCTTTCAGGACAACAGGTGGTATGGTGATATGGTGGTTAAGGTATTGGATCCATGTGACCAACTTTGGCGTGTGAGTCCTGGATCTACGGACTTGAAAAACATTCTGGGTGCATGTGCGGGTGTGCCCCAAATCCTGAGAGAACAATGGTGAAAGGGTTGTGGTGTAACCATCCCCTTGTGGGATGATTTCTCTCTTTTCTTCTCTCTCCCTCTGTTTCTCCAGTGAGTGTACATGTCCTATAGCAAAAACACAAACAATAACAACAAAGGAAAAACAAAACTTAAAGACTTTTTTCCTTTTATAAGAGAGAAAAACACACACAGAGATCCAGAGAAATACGTTCTCCAGCACAGCCCCTATGCCATGATCCACCCCTGTCTTAGTTGGCTTTGATCACAATGATGTGTATGTGTGTGCATGTCCAGTGTGCTCATGAAGGTCCTGGGACACAAACCCAGGACCCTTCCCATGTGAGTCCAGTTGTGTTACGATTGCATCACCACTTGGCCCCTGAAACTCCTCTTTTAAGCTAAAATTCTTGAAGGGTCTATGTCCTTAGTAAAGAAGTAGACTAAAAAATAATGCTGGACAAAAAGGAGAGTCTATAAGGGGCTCTATCTCCACCATGGAGAAAAGATACAGAAAAAGAAGGAAAGGCGTACATTATTTTTTGAGGATTTCTTTGAGAATTAGTATTTTTAAAAAGTTGCTTATTTAACTTAATTTATTATTATTATTTTAAAATTTGACCAGAAAGAGAAAGAAGGAAGGAGAGATAGAGGGAAAGTGAGAAAGCAAGCCTCTATGTCTGGGACTCGAACTGTGGTTAGCCATGTGGGAGTCCAGCACCATAACCACCATGTCACCTGTTGGCCCCTGAGAATAACTATTAAAAGACACCTGCTGAAAATTTTAATTAAAGTGATACAAGAATATTATAAGATTGGTAATATTCACCTATTCCCTTCATAACTCTCACAGAAAAAGAAAAAGAAAATTCTCTTTGAGGGGTATCAGTAGATGGTAATGATTATGTTGCTGAACTCCCACCCACATGGTTCACTGCAGTTCGAGTCCTAGATCTGGTGGCTTAAAACTCATGCTGGGTGCGTGTGCGTGCATGACCAAGATCCTGAGAGGAGAATAGAGGAGAAGGGATTGTAGTGTGGCCATCCTCTCAGGAGGTGATTTCTCATTTTCTGTCTCCCTGTCTCTCTGATGAGCAAAGCACCCTATAGCAAAAAAAAAAAAAAAAAAAAAAATCTCCTTGAAGAAAATTATCCCAACTTAGTATTGCCACAGATTGAGGCCAACGAAGTATTGTCTTGCAATAAAAAATGTCATCATGAGTGAGAGTCCACAGAAATAATGAGTAATAGATTTAAGCTTCTAAAAACATTGATATTAAAGTGATTAAACACAGAATATAAAATTATTATGTATGAAGTGATTGCTCACTTTCTGTCTCTGTCTTTCTGGTGAGCGCACGCATCCTATAGCAAAAACCTGCCCCCACCCCCAAAATAAACTTTCAACCTAGAATTGTAAAATATTATTTCATTTATTTAAAAGTTTATTTGTTTCAGGACCAGCAGTTGGAGTAATGGCTATGTTGTTGGACTCCCATGTAGTCGACTGCGGTTTGAGTTCTGGACCTGGTGGCTTAAACTCAGGCCGGGCACGTGTGCATGTGTGCCCAAGATCCCAAGAGGAGAATGGAGGTGGCCATCCCCCAGGGGATGATTTTTTGCTTTCTGTCTCTCTGTCTCTTTCTGTCTTTCTGGTGAGCGCATGCACCCTATAGCAAAAACCTCTTTCTTAAAAAAAAAAAGTTTGTTTCTTCCATGAGTGAGAGAGAGAGTCCCTCCTATAAGGTCTTTGTGCTGTGATCCACTCCTGTTTTCAGCCATCCCTCGATCGTGGGCATTATGTGTATCTAGCATACTAAGGGATACCTACTTGACTTGAACCAACAACTTTCCCATGTGGAATTGCCTCAGAGAACCTTGCATCTTGCTGCTGTGCCATTGTCTGGACCCTAAAACTTTATTTTAATGATGAGGGAAAAATAAAGACTTTTTGGATAAAAACTTTTCTACCAACAGTTTGAGTGAATCAGGCCCTTATCCCTTCTCTTTAGGATTTTGAAATCACCTACTAATAACCTCTGACCCCAGTCTTGGCCCTCTGTGATTCACCTCCAAGACCCTTTTGGCCAGCGTGATCTCTGTAAAACACAGAATGATCACCTCTTTACATCTTAACACATTTCATGCTTTTTCACAGCCAAGACATCCAGACACCCATGGAAAACACGACTCCAGCGGTCTTCTCCATCTATCTTATCTCTGTGCTGTAATCCCCTGAACCCTGTGTCTCAGTCACAGGGAGCTTATTTTGACTTCTCCTAATGTATTGCATTTCCCCTTCTGTCTTTCTTTATGACTTCCTTGGCTTCTAGTTTCTGAAATAACCTTTCTCTGCTTTTTTTCCTACCCAGGGTACTCCTACCCGTGACTCAACATTCAGCTTAATTATCACCTCCTCTGTGAAGCCTCTCCTGATTACTTTCATCCCCTAATGTTAAAAGGATCACATCCACCTGGAAGAGTTGCTTGGGGGAGTAAGTGAGAAGGAAGGACCTGGTATTTATTAAATTCCTCAGATGATTATAATATTCACCCAGTCTAACTTCACCATCCTGAATACACACAACTTGTCTGTATGCACTGAGATTTAGAAAGACTAGACTGAACCTTAAAAGGCATCCTTTGGAGATGGAGGTTGACAGAGGACAAACTAAAACAGGAAAGAGAACGATGGGAAATGATTGTGCAGACAGAGTAGCAGAGCCCATCTCAATTTCTTCTCAAGTCTTGTATTTTGTTATCCTCCATTCTATGTGTTGTTCTGTATTTGTTATAACTTACTGAGGAGAGGGTTGGCTCCACAGCCTAATGGTTAAGACCCCATATGACTGACTGTGTGGTTCATATCCTGGCCTCGATGGCTTGAAAAACATGCTGGGCATGTGTGTACACATGCACCAAATCCCAACAAGATGAAAGAGAAGAGAAGGGATTGTGGCATGAATATGTTTTACAGGGCGGTGCTTTCTCCCTCTCTGTCTCTTTCTGGCCAGCACACATGCCCTCTGGCAATAAAAACAAAGTGCAACATGAAACCCCAACTTATTGAGTAAAACAATCTATTGAGACCATGGGTGCCATTCCTTGC